ACTTCTCCTTTTTCTTTCTTTCTCTCTCTTTTCTTTTCGTACAACATGAAACCATCTACGTAATTATTCGAAGTGTATAGGATCACCCAGTGGAACGATTTCTGAGCTCCTTTCTTGACACTTAAGGGCCCATTCTACCTCGTTGGGTTTTAAAAAATCGAAAATTATTTGCATAATTTGATAACTGAAGTGTAGAGAATATTGCGTTGAAGCCTTAATATGAAATTCTGAAAGATAAAATAGTTACGAAGCAATAAAGACGGTTATGCACAAGCAGGTAGCAAACTCACGCTACAGATATACGACGGATAGTTTATAATAGACTTATTTGTCATCGGTAATACACAATATTAACTTAAAATGTGTTTAGCTATTTATTTTAAATTTTTTTCACCAAAGGTTGTATGGCCTTGGAATAGCTGATTAGTTGTAAGTAATCAAATACAGGCATATATGGCCTTATTTATGTATACAGTAACAATAAGAAAAATTAACTTGAAATTTTAAATACATTTTTCTCGAAACAATATTTTTCGATCTAATGGAAAAGTGACAAAGCAAAAACTATTGAACGCATTACTTTTAAAATATGCACAATTGTAGAGCAATGTTTGTTTCTATTGGATAGACTACAATTATCAGTATCTATAGATACTTCTTTTAAACTTTTGATTTCAAATAGCCGCTATTTTATTAATTTTTATCCAAAGTCAATTATCGTAATATAATAGATATATTCTGAATAGGAAAATCGTTTTTTTTAACTCTTTGATTAGTGTGACCTGCAATATTTCCATTCTGATGCCATGTTCAAGTCGGAGAGACTTCTTCTTTGAAATTTTACGTAGACTAACAGTCAACAAATTGACCTAGCAAAAATTTTAAATTAAAGAGAAAAGTATAACAAATATGGAAAAAGATGTAAAAACAATAACGTATATATCTTATATATATATATATAATTATTTTTTCCGGAAAAAACCCTAAAAATCGAATTTTTTTAGGCCACAAAGTAAAATGAACCCTTAATTATATTTTATTGTTATTGATCGATCTTGGCGCAGCGATACCTGCATATTCATATATTTTCCTGTTGTACTTCGCTTTAAAAAATCGCGTTACATTTAAGATCCTATCGCAGCAAAATGATACATTCCGGCGAAAACAGTAACGATCTCACTCGTGTTTCCTCGCAGAAAGTCTGGTTCCTTCCAGTTTCTCCTGAACGGTGATCGAGAATATACGCATCGAATTTAAGAATAACTTGAAAATACGATCAAACTGGTCTTCCTGCGCCCACGACTAGAATTTCTCTGTAAATAGAACTTGTTATTAACACGTTAAACGTGACGTCACCGTTGATCCTTGGGGATATTGAACTTTTTGTTTAGAAAAGTTTCGGTCCATAAGGATGCGATAGCAATCCATGATCACTTCTTATGATCTTATAATTACGACTAAAACTTTTACGTGTAATGGCCTCCAGACGATTCGATGAATCGCCTTTTTACCGCTATCGCTATTTCTTGTTTACATCTCTTAAATTACATATTGGTTGAACGTTTCCCCTCGGCTAAATGGAAATTAAAACAAAACTCGGCTTCGTGTTTAATGTGTTAATAAAAAATTTATGGCGATTTCTAGTCTTCGAAATTGAGGCAAACATTCAATAGAAATCTTATGGTAAATGAAAATCTTATTTAAATTGATAAACGTAGATAGTTCTTATTTATAACCGCTATCTCTCTCCTTTGTGTGCAGCCGCTACATAGAATGACAATAAAAATATATCTCTACTCGCATAAATCGTACAAGTCGGTAGATATGTTTCCTCCTCGAAATAATTTAATCAATATTTTATTGTAAATTCTGCAGACGCGTATCATTATTATTTTGTTGTATTATCAATTCTATATTAAACAATGAATTTGATAAGATTGCGTTTGTAAACGCAATAAATACATATGTTAAAATTTTGCGTCTTTTATGACAATAACTTTACGAAATATTTTGCGGACAGTTTATAAACCTAAATGATACCCTCTTTTTTTATAGTATACAAAGTAAATAAATGCGATCGGAATCGTCTATTATTAGCCTTCTACAATATTTTGATTTATATTTCTATGTTAAGCGTCATTTCTGTCTGCGTGCTTATTTTTCTCGCGGCTTCATAAAATAGGAGTTGTCTGCCCCTCAACCGGAGATTGTGTCAAAGATGAATTGATAAAGAATCGCGGCGAGGATAAATGTCAAAAGAACTTAGTCCATTTTCGTAAAAGTTTTTGACCAACCGCGTCTGCAGTCATCAATCGTATACATATAATTTTATAGATAATAATGATAGTATTCAAGAAAAGCAAGATCCTCAAAAACCCTCATCGGAAGTAGTTCTAGCCTCCTAATGATGTCATTTTAATTCGTTTGATGGTCCATCTGAACTGTCCAATATGACAAATATGTTATTTATTCTCAGAAAATATCTGTGTGCCATTACAAAGATATTTAGCTTATAGGTACGAAATGATCGACATAATGTAAGCAGTCTACAGTACGAGCATGACTTACATGTGTGCAGTTAATGTTCTTTAATAACATCTTTTTCTTCATCATTACCTTCTGCTACAATGTAGACATACTATCGTGTTTTATTAATATACCTGAACTGTATTGGAACTTTAAGAAGAATTGGATTAACAATGTCGATATTATAATTAACGAGATCACGAGCTCCTTATCATAGTTTGCACGCAAAAAAAAATCTTTAGGAGAGGATAAAGTAAAACAAGATTCTAGAAGTTACATTCAACTGTTATAGAATAAAAAATCTTAGGTGATTAAACTACTTTGGGTTTGAGGATCTGAACTTACTTTTTCTAAAAAATACTGCCATTATTACCTACAAAATTATACACATATGATTGACGGCTGGATAGCCTAAAATGGCGAAGTTCTCTCTCATTCCCTTAACAAGATTTGATATCTCATATCTATTCTAAGCGTCCGAATCTGATAATTTGCATAAAAAATAGAAATCAGCATTTTCGGATATTTTCGCAACCTCGTGTCGACCTCGTTTCGAGAATTTATAAATCAAGGTCCGATATCCCAAACGAGCAACTAGAAACTCAAAAGTTTCGAAGGTGAGAATTATAATTGCACCTAGCACATAAATTTTTGTTAGAGACTTTAAAACTCAATAGGTTAAACGCATACACGTACACGTAATGCGCACGTCCGCTCTACTGATTTCCATTTTTTGCACGCCATTCTGTATAAGGGTACGAGTACAAAGAAGACAGGTTTCCTGGTTTCCGGTTGGCGCGGGCTATCGGCGTTTGAGGTAGACACAATAAATACCTAATAAAGTAGGAAACCTGTCAGTTTCTGAATCGACGTTTTATAGTTAATTAATTGTGTCTCTGACAAATTATTACTATACCTTTCTATTATTTATAGCCTCAATTTCACATAATTAATAATCACTTTAATATTGAATTTAAATATTGAATCATAATACGCGTCATAAAAGTTTAAAACTCTTTGCTTACTACTTTCCAATACTTTTCCAACAAGAGTTTATCTATGTTAGAATGATTATTATATCCTCCTAAATGGGAGATCTTATAAAGTTGCCAAAGGAGAATGAATAATTAATCGGCAAGAAAACTGAAAATTCATTCCGATTAATTTACTCACGTCGCTGATATGAGCAGACAAGCCTGAACCTGCTTTTACTTTATGTGCGGTCACATAAGATAACACTTATATATTTTTGCCACTGATCGATGCCGATCAACACTGATTGTCGGAAAGCAAAAGACCTGTTTCTTCTGTGTTCGTACCCTAAACACATATTAATCTCCCTATGTATTTCATTACTCCTGAGATTCGTCGTTACTTATTCATTCCTAGTTTATTATGTCGTTTTATCTTTCGCTTCCACAAACAATTTGGACATTATGCACGATCTATCGACATATTACAGACATCGCGCAAGTCTGTGTAAAATGTTTGCAACAAGCGCATTCTTAAGTATTTAACGAACAATTAATTATCCGCAAGACATTGGGAGAACATCTATACGCGTGTAATCTCGTCTGTTCTTTTTTTTTTAGCGCCTTACTGATAACAAATCGTGAAAATTTTTAAATCCTATCGTAAGTATATGTTATACAATGCTACGTCTAAATCGAGATGGAAATTCACGACAAAGTTATAGTCGCTGTCGCTGTCATACCTCATTCATTCGTGAATTGAACACAATTTAGTCTTTGAAGAAATAACACTCGTGTGTTACAACTTTAGTAAGAAATCGTATTTTAAAGACATTAAGGTGCAGGTTTTCCTGCAATGTGAAAATATCAACAATGAAATGTTAACAATGATTAAATCAAAGCGAAGCGTCTACAATACGATATATCGAAAATATCCATGATAATAATCGTGTTTTAGATAAGCGTGTCGTTTGAAGAAGACTAATTTTCTTCAAAAATGTTCGCAATAAAACAAAGTACAGGTATAAACGATTGCTGCCATACGTATTACGAAATAAAGGAAACATACGCTTTTTAAAGACGCTTCTGTAAAAATCATTTCGCACGGCTGATTCGAATCGATGAAACTTCTCTAATCGTCACCACGATACGTTGAGGAACGATTAGATGTACGTGCCGTGCATCGGCTATCTCCTCGCTCGCGTTGGCGAGTAAGTGCCATGAAATCTACCCTCGAAAATTCTGCGTCTCGCTTGCGGGTCTTACGGCAACGCGGTGCACGCGTTAGAAAGAATACGTGAGGAAGCCCCCCTTACGGCCCTATACGCTAATGACGGCGGCGATATGAATGCACGTCGATTAAACCAAACTATGCTCGCGCGTATTGTGACGATGTGTGTACAAAATGGAGGAGCTTGGTCCTGGCAACGCAACGGACGACGGTGGCGTGATGGTGCTCGAGCACGGCGAAAATGATGACAACGCAGAAGGTGATACCCTCCTCGACACAACTAGCACCTAGGTGTTGTGATCTTGCTTGTGCGGCTTGTTCTCGAGATTATTAGGCACCGGCCGACTCACGAGGTCCTCGAGCTCGTCGGGTGTCAGGACCGTGAAGTCCCTGTCGATACAATGAGATCATGGTGATGAAGCACAGGGAAATCACATTTTTTTTTCTAGCACATGAATGAGGATAAGCATGGTCGCTCTTGCGCGAAAATTTCGAAATGGACTTTTTACAAAATGTTTTGCAGCAACGAATACATACAAATGGCACAGTGAATCACCTCAACTTTATTTAATTATTATCAAACAAGTGGTCGCTCTTGCGCGAAAATTTCGAAATGGACTTTTTACAAAATGTTTTGCAGCAACGAATACAAATGGCACAGTGAATCACCTCAACTTTATTTAATTATTATCAAACAAGATAAAATAATTCACTGTATTACGCTATGTCAACTGTGGCTTAGTTTACATCGTGCATTTGATAATAGGGGTACTAACTAGTAACTTTCTATTGAATTATGTTAATTGCAGCGATAAATGATGTGAATATTTAATTAACCTTTTTGATGCATATGTCATATTGTATCAATTTAGTACATTATTCAAATACATTGTTGAAATTAAGATAATTTAATAACAATTAATGGAAATTAAGTTAATACGCGCGTATCAAGTGTTCGGTGTAAAAGGAATCATTTGTGTTGGAAAACGTTCAAGGAAAGCGACATTTTTTTAGGCAGAGTTTGATTTGATTTTTGCGTTTGGACGATCTACGATTGATCTCAAAATTTCAAAGAATATGAAAATCACAAAAACACTTCACATTATTAATAATTAACATTTTTTTATATTCTAACAGATAATTTTCAATATTTTTTCTTTTTATTATACCTCAAACAGCGCGAAATAAAATTCTCTTAGGCTGAAATTTATAATCAAGTAATTTTCAATCTTTGATCGAGAAACTTTTTTACAGATAATTAATTATATACCTACTCATATTCATAGTGGATTATTGCCAGATTATTCAACTTTTAACTCTTACCCTACCATCGTGAATCACTAATGACCAACCGATTCCTATTCGTGTAAGTTTCATGCAAATTCGATGGATTTGGCGTTTGTTATCCTCTCCTAAAAACAAATTTATATTGGAAAAGACCTAGCTGTGCGCGGCGAGGCGATCGCGATCATCAATCTGCCTGTAAACTACGTACAGTTCAATTTTGAGTAAGACGCTAGCATCCTATGATAGTAGGAAAAGGGTACTTTTCGTGAAAAATTAAAATTGTATAAAAATAATTGTAAGACGAGATAAGCTTAAAAAAGAAAACGATATATTATTGCAAAAGCAGCGACAAAAGACTTAGATTTGTTGCTTTCTGTACGGAAAGTCGATTTGTAAACACCATCGTATTTATATACTATGTGTAAAATGTAAACGCGGTTTCTTAATCTTTTTTTTTTATTAAGAGATACATTATTTTTACACCGAAATGAAAAAAAATGCATATTTTAACTCGATTTGTTCCTTGTTGGGAAGTTACTTACCTTCGTGTGCTCAAATAATTTAATTTTTTGTAGAATTCAAAGTCCTCATATTTCTTTTTTCAAAACTTTATATCATAACTAAAAAAACCTGGTTATTTTTTTTACATTTAATTATTATAAAAAATTATAATTCTTAAAATTGAATGTCACTTTTTCCCAACTTATGAACTTTTCGGTAATTATAACTTATACTATATTTTGTTATTTTTTACAAAAAAATGGAGGTTATACATTTGTTTTATAAAGAATTCTTCTTGATCCTATTACTCGTATTCGAGTGTGGTGACATTCTCTTGTTGAGAGAAAGTTGAATGTAAATTCATAAATTTTTAGAGATTTTTTGAACCATTTTTAATATATAAAAACATTTTAATTCTAACGGATTGTGATCCACGATGGTATATAGGGATGAGGCACCGAATTAATGGTGCCTCATCCAATATCATATTGTAAGGGTTAATTTAATATTTTACAGGGTTACATTTTACAAGATCTCTCACTCTCTTTTTAAAAAATCTATTATTATCTATATATTGTCTGTCTAAGATTAAAGAATTCGTAGTCTGTGTTGATCTTCATTTATATAAAATAATATTTTATATTGCGTGGGTGCGTGCGTATGTGCGTGCGTGTGGATGGATGAATGAGTGAGTGTATACATTTTTTAATCCCTGCGGTTACAAATAAAGCTGTGAAACACGTTTTTTTTCTATATTTTCAACCTATCGATTTTTAAAGACTGAATTACTGAGAGTTTTTCTGTTTGACACGCTGAGAGGAACGATATCTTTTTGAGAAAAGAAAATGAAACGAGAATAGGATTCCTACATATTTTTGCGCGAAATAAGAATTCGAAGAACGATTCATCGATTTTACCTGTGCTGGGCCAGCAACATGTCTATGCTAGTGACGCTGCGCTGATGAGTATTTTCCTTTTGAGCCGCGTTCTGCCTCTTGATACAAATTGCTCGCAACGGCGCGAGGAATGCTCCTATTACCAAAAGACTGCTTCCTGTGGCGATCAAAGCTGCTGAGTTTTGGGCAGCCTCTGCACCCGGCGCAAGTTGTACCAGACCGACGACTAGCACCACCGCTCCCATCAGCAGCGATCCGACGACAACGTACAGCGAATTGACCTGAAGTAATATCGAGTGCTTTCCAATTATAAAATCACTAAATATTTTCGTACACATGCCGACATAAGTTCCGTTTCAATTGCCGTAATTATCGACATAATACTTAAACACATCCATAGAGCTATATTAAAACGATATACAGAAGTAGAGCATTAATTCAACCACACGCAAGATAGTATTAGCGAATACTTTTTATAATTACAAAATTTCTTTCGTTACATCATAAATTCATTACACGTTAACCAAACGTTTCGGCCCAAGTTATTCTCAAATATCTGATAAAAACTAATAGCTACATTTGTCATTGTCATACACTCAAACGATTGATAATTGTTGTTGATTAAATTTTTTTATATATATTCAATCCGAATTAATTGTACAATATAATAAAGAGCTATATTAATCGGCTATAAGTATTATAGTATAATATATAAAGCTTGTGTTTTATGATGACAATTATTATACATGTTATTAACCTTAACGACTGTAAATAAAGGTAGGAGGATGTTGAGTGGCCAATTTTTCTGCTTTTTTTGTCTGTACACATTGAAACAAATTACATTTAATTTAATTCTATCCGAAATCGGATTAAAACTGTGCATAGCGTACACACATTCTGTTCCAATGCTACATTTTGTGCATTCCTGCGTAAGTATGTGTTAAACGATTGGAAAGCACCCCTATCATTTGATACACATTCTCCCTAACGAACAATAGCGACGAACAACAAAGCGAAATAATTAAAGTTCTTACCTGTCCGCAGAAATAATACTCCGGCGGCTCCTTATCTGTCGTCAGTACTGCCTCACTTTCCGCCAATGGGCTACCCGGTTGACTATTTCCTATCCGCGAACTTTTCTCTTGGTAATAAGTCTTATGAAAGACCTTCACCGAAGGTACTGGTAACGCTGTAATCATTCTGAAACGAGATCATGTGAAAACATGAAAAATTGAAGAAGCGAGCGATGCAACGATCGAATTATATACATTATTGGCAGTGACGACAGTGACGTATTTATGAATAGAAAGAATGGACGATTTTTCTAAAATATCTAAAAATGTATAGTTTAATACTGAATGCTTTTTAATTATAAAATTAGACGCTTTTGTGTACACACGACGACACAAGTTGCATTTCAATTTTCCTCGCAACACTACACATATTCATCCCGAGGGTTACTAGTCAGCTTGTATTATATTTTCTAGTGACCATTATTACATGTTAACTAATCGCGATGGTTATAAATGAGATTAGAGAATGTAGAATGGCCGGGACTTTTGCTTTTTTTTTCGTTCGATACAGGCGAGAAGAACTAGGGTAGCTCCGGTATTTACGCCGCGCAAAAACCTACACCACAGAAGTCAGAAAAAAATAGAAGTAGTGGTGATAATGTGCACCCAACATTTTATTACGTCCTTTATAAAAAGTGCACAGATTGGATTTCAGTGTACTAAATGCAATAAACGTATTACATGAAATATATGTGTACTTCAATCATAACATTTGTAATATATGTAAAGAATTATAATTTTATTTTGTATTACTTTTTATTTATATACACACACATTTATTATTCTTATTCCTTAATAAAATTTTGTAAATACATTTTATAAGTTATGTCATTTTCCGTCTTATTTATAATATATAAGTATTATTTATTTGAAAATTTGTTATAAGCCGTCATCCCACTTGCTCTCCCATGAATAGCTCATCCCTATATAAAATGTACAGAAAAAATGCAAGCATTTCAAAAAGTTTCTTGTTTAATACGAAAAATAAGTATTTCGGATTTCTAATGTTTTTTTCATAATAATATAAACAATACAAAATTTTTACTAGTATAGATCGTTTACCTTAAACATAGTAAATAATACTTAATAAATGAAGTTTTTTGCAGAGTTGGAAAGTAACGCGTTACTTGTAACGACGTTACTCTTTTTTCGTTACCTTTTTTTCAGTAACAATCGTTACTTTTTTCTGACTCTATAACGGTAACGATAATGCCGCTATATTTTTACAATAATGGTAACGAATTTAGCCATTACTTTTATCGTTACTTTAGTTTTTAATGGATTCAGGGCTGCGTTAAAATCATCATCTGAGTGTATCCATTAGATGTTGTTTTATTCTTATTTATCATTATGAATAACAAAGATAAAACAACATTTGAGTGGATCCAGACAATACTAAACAGAAAACATAACAGAGAAAACTGATCAGTGAGCGTTCAATGATTCTTTAATATTTATACCTAATACAATTTGACATTGTGTATAATAAAAATTACGTACAATAAATGCAATTATAAAATTTTTTCTCATTTTTTGTTCACTTCTTAAAAAATATTTTGTATTTTATACGCCTAAACAACACATGCTCACATCTCTGCTTATCATCAGTACAGGTTTCCTGAATAATTAACTTTAACAATTAATACCTCGATGCTTTGCGAGGTAAAGCACTTGCCTCTGCTAAATTCGGTCGTTTTGTACAAAAGACATTAAATGAACCTAATTTTATCAATTGTGAGAGAACTAAACTCAACAATTTTCTTGAAAAATAACGGAAAAGTAACGAATCGTTACTTTTTTAATTAACGGTAACGATAACGCACTACTATTGAAAAGGAGTAACAAGTAACAAATTATTTTTTACGAAAAGTAACTGTAATGGTAACGAGTTACTTTTTCAAAGTAATGTTCCCAACATTTTATTCTGAATTTTTGTTAGATGCGGCGTATAGTAATCCTATATTTAGGAGAAGATGTTATTAGCGTTATTTGTGTCATTATATCCTTGTGTGTCGTCTTATAAACGATGAAGATAGAATGACACAAATAACGCTAATAGCATCAAACACCTCCCTTATCTAACTCTATTCGAAACTGACCGAAATCGTGCTCAGCATACACATACTGTTCCAAATGAATTGTGCACAATGTTACACTTTGAGCATTCTTGCGTATATTGTTTATATTAAGATATATATTAAGCAATTATATATTGAAAAGAGCATACATAGATCTGAGCGTCCCACATAATTATTTTGATGGTTTAACAAAATTATTTCTTGATCTGTGTGTATGTATCTAGTTAAATTTTTAAATATACTTGGAAAAACCTTTTCGGATATATGATAGTAATAGAGTTTATTAAATTGTAGGAGATGTGCGACTTGAATCGAATTTTTCGTGTATCGAAAAATTGATGGAAATATTACGTAGTCGTTCCCGCAAATGCGAGGACTGCTTTGATCGAACGACGATGGCGATTACTGCAGGCAAACGTTAGTAGTGTCGGTGGCCTAGATATGTTCTCAAGAGGGGCGATGGCCTTTGTACCTCGATTATTGAACAACCGAAGCCAGCACGGATCGAGTACAGGTGTATAACAACCGCTAAAAAACACACTCGACGAACTCTCATTCTCTCTCTTTCTCTCTCTTTCTCTTCCATAATCCGAGAGATACATTAATTTTCATCAACGCACCAATGATAAATACGATCTCGCGTGACTACGTTCACAGAGAACGCGAGAATAAACAGAAAAAATACAGAGAAAATACGCCTCTTCGTGCCATCTCGTTGCTTTGTATAATATCGTATTTACGATGGCTGAGAAATGCAATTTTAATTTATTTAAAGAGACTTAAATGATTTCAATTCCACCCCGTGTTAGGCCGCTCAAAGTATCGAAGGCCGAACAGGAGGATCTTTCAATTTCACGGATATTCCAAATCGTGCGCGGTGTAGGGTGCGCGCATAAAATAGTCGGATATATGACCGTTATCGCTTTAAAAGGGCGTAAAGTGGAACGGTGGCCTGATTTCCCCGATGTCATGGTTGCAGCTCCACGTGCGTCGTATACAGTAGGCCGAGTTATAGGCGCTCTCGAATGTGTAACTAATATTATCGCTATCTCGTAGCCTGGATTTCTGTTGGAATCTCGAAGAGGGTAGCGCGAGCGAATGGAAACGGGATATCCGACGTCTTCGTAAATTCACGCTATTTCGTTTCATATATCGCTTGATTTTATATCTTTTTTACGATTTACATATATTTTTCTTTCGAGCTCCTTTGGATTTTCTTTTTTAAAGGGATTCGCGATTTGGCTCAATACAAAGTTCCGTGTTGCGTCGAGGTTATTCATCCTGGAAGATACCAATTTGTGGACTGTTCTATATTAGGCAATGGCCGAGGCGGCACGATTTTATTTCAAATACATTCAGAGAATAATAGTTATAGTAGCAACTATAAAGATGACCACTATACGACTGTACAAATTTTATGTGTAGAATTAGTATATATAGTTGAATAAACTATTTTTTATTGCAACTGTAAAATAATTTATCAGCTATGTGCATTAATATTCAATTATATTGTACCTATATATATTAATTTTACATATAAAACTTATATAAGCAGTTAATTGTCACTTTTATGATTGCGACTACTACTTTGAGTGTGTATATAAAAAAATTCGAAGAAGAATAAAACATTTTTCGCTCCCGACGACTACGATTCTCATGATCGCGACAATATTTCGTTTCATAGCGACGTTTAATCGACAACCGAATCGTCGATCGAGCTTCCCCGAAAAATGAAGTGAAAAAGAGAGAGAGAGAGAGAGAGGGGATGGAGGATGAATTTATGGCATCGACTCCTCGTGCATTGACTCGCCGCTTGCCGATCAGGTTTGTGACGCCGCTTCGTCGTTGCGATATTTCGTTTGGCTGCACTCCAGAAAAGTATAGCTACATTTTCCGATAATCGAGGTTACTGCACGCCATATGAACTCATCGTGTATATACCTATCGCAATTTTATTATAGCATTGACAATGTTGGACGTAAAGAGAGAATAGGAAATGCAAACTTTCAGCGGGTGTACGTAAATATTTGTCAGCTGTCATGTGGACGTGACAGATGACAAATACACTACTCGGGTTCATCCCATGCGTTTCGTTGTATGATGGATAATCTGTAGTCCGCGACGAGATGCATTGAATTCTCGCGCGGGGGATTCTAGGCTTCCTTGATTTTTGTTTTTCATTGTACTAGCTTTTTGTGTTTGTTCTTTCTTTCTCTTCCCTACGTTAGGTCAAACGTAAATGACGTTGCACATGTTCCACTAAAATCTCGGAAAATCGATAAATGGGTCACCATTGACCACATTCAACATCCAAGGGGAATTTTCACGCTTCGTTGATAAGCGTCCAACCATCGAATCAGATTCTCTATTGAGTCCCCTCTAAACATGCATAATAGAGCCTTCTAAATCCAAAATAAAATTCTACACTGAATCTATAATAAATAATAATAATAAACGTAACCTTATATATGTTAAATACAACATTAAACGTAAGAGAAAGAAAAACTCGTCGAATTCATGGTATCCGAATACTCCGATTGCTCCATATTTGTTCATCTTAAAAACGTAAACGAAATGATAATAGATGTATAGAGACTTGTACAAATTATCACGCGAATATTTTCTCGGGAGTAAATGTCATCTTGAACCAATTGGAGTTCGCATTATAAATAACGAAATCAAAACAAGAGTCGCATTGTAACGCGTAATTAGAAGAAGATACATACAGTGACGCATTTATCTTTCCGTATACATTCGTGTTGTGGCGATCAACTTGAAAGAGTTGATAATTATACCGAATAAGCGTCTCAAACGAGATTTATTCCAGAAATATTTATACGCAAGGAATAACATCCACTTCTTTGTATTCTTCTTATCATGCATGTTTTACTTACTTCGTGCAGCTGAATCTAGGATCGCTCGTACGCGAGAATATGGCACCTCCTCTTCGGCTCGCGTCGTATTTTGGCAGCCGTCACAGGATATTACGCGAAAGCGGAAAGGAAAGGAAGGAGCGAGGCTGGAAAACAATACCGATCGTAAGAAGAA